CGATTTGGTGCGAAATGCGTCCATAACTACACGGTGTTGACTTGCTGTCCTTTATGTGCTCGGAACGTTCCTCTACGTTCCTCTCTGTCTGCTTCTGTTCTTGCTCTCTGAACACGTCTTCTGGCTCTGAGACAACTAGCGCGGAGGGTGCTAATTGCCTCGTTGCAGCAGTAAGCTGGAGGCCGTCTGTTATTTAGCTCCAGAACCGGCATGGTCGTGTCACATGCCCTTCCTAACGGTTCTGTCAACTCGTCTTCCACTGCAGGTAGCAAGTTCTCGTCCTCTGTACTGCCACAGGATTCCGTTGGCCGATGCCATATCGGATTGCCTGATGGTCACTATGGGTATATCCTTCACACACTCTCCAATTCATGTTTCCACCAGCGACGGACTGCACTCCGAATTAAGTGACGTCGATAATGGATTCCCGGCCATCTCTGCGAAAAGTGCTGGTGATGCCTTTATTGAACAGCCTAGTTTTCAGCTTCGCCAGAGCTTCCAGCAGAATGTGCCCTCTTGCGTTGGTACATCGGTTTCCCCACTCCACTGCCTAAGCATTGAAGTCTCCTCCGATGACTACCGGTCTTCGTCCGATCAGCTCTTCGGTAAGTCCAACCAGCGTCTCGTGGAACTGCTCCATCGTCCATCGGGTGCGTAGCAACTGCATATAAATATTCCGTTAATTTTGGCGATCACGAAACCTTCTTCTTGAATGGGGTATCTACCCATAGCTTGTATTGCAGCCATCCCAGCTCTATCCGCCACCTAGTTACCTTTATCGGCAGGGACTCGATACAGCTTGTGCAGTGTCGCAATAATTGAAGTTAATTTGAGTTACCTCTGTTATTGTTGCGACAAAACAATTAACTGTCATTTGGAGCGAAATGCTTGAGAATTCATGTTTAAAAACCAAAAATTTCAGCAAAATCTTCAGGCTGACAAAATCGGGGAAAAAAAGCTGTCAAAATCGGGGGTAGACAAAATTGTTTACTTACGATACTAACACTGAACGTCTGTTCAAGCTTGTCTTGGAAGGTCTTCCCAGTGATGAATCTCTGGATCAGATCAAAGATGAATTGAAAAAAAAAACTTGGAGTTGAGCCACTCCAAGTAATCAAAATGAAAATGAAATCCCGTCCTGGCGATTCGCGCAACGGGATTTCCAATGATTTTTATTTAGTTCACTTCAAGTCTAGTGAACTGAACAACCTTAAGGGTTTAGAAAAACTACAAAGGACAGCCCTATGTGGTCTTATATGATAAATCTTATTTGTTAATTTGGCAATAGGTGATAATTTTAATTATCAAAGCAGCAGTTGCACATTCGTGCAATTTCCAATAAGAACATTTTGAAAAATGATAAATTCTTAAAATGCGTAGAAATATATCTGATCGATTGGTGATAAAATTATTGAAATTGGTTCAGGGGCAGCTGAGTTATTAACGTTCAAAATCTTTCATAATTTTGTTACATGTTCCATTTTCGTTTTTCACAAAGTGTACCCCCATATAGAAATCACAGATGTAGTCCTACGCTCCACGTTCTCGGCAAGGTACTAATTAACAACGGTCAGCGAGGAACAAATTCTTAATTCGTTACCTTCGCTCATTTTCACCTCCAACTTTTCAATTTTCATACTGCCGTCCTCTAGCGGAACTATCAACCTACCTTTCTCTCCACGGAGACGAAAAAGTACCCAAAATTAAGTACCTACTTTTACCTCAATTCCCGGGTTCAGCCCAATAACCCAAATTTGAGTAAACTGCATATAGTAGTTTCCATTTAACACCAGCAAAAAATACTTACTCTTAAGTATATTCTACCCAAAATTAAGTTTAATTTACGTAATTTTGAGAAAATTTAATTCACTCAAAAGTAACTTATTGGGCTGAACTATATCATTGGGTCGAATCTCTCGTTCCTTTTTTGAGAACAATAACAGGTGCAAGTGAGAGCCTCAGCTCAAAATTAAGTAAAAGGAACTCAAATTTTTGATTGATATTTTTTCTCCGTGTAGCTAATAAATTATCACACTAAAAGCTTCATGTTAGATAGCATTTCCAACCAACTCTGAAAATCGTGAATGAAACATTTATCTATTATTGAAAGGTTTTTTTTCCAGTTCACTTATTTGGAAGGCTCAATCACGTTAGCTTTACGGGTTCGATAGTTATTGTAAATTGAAACTTAATTTTGAATGGTATAGGAACTGAGTTCTGAATTTTTTAAATTGAATGTCAATTTATATCAAAATTTAGAATAAATAATCGAATTTTGATGTATTTTTAATTAAATTTATAAATCATGATTTTTTTTAATCATTATTGAATTGAGTAACAAAAACAGCTGCGTAGTCCTACGTCAATAATGCGTGCTTCGGACACAAATCTCAACTTTGCCTATGTTGCTCATAAGCAGAGCTTCATACTTGCCGAAAAAAGCATCAAGCTATGTAGGCAAATAAAAAACTACAAGGGACAGCCCTATGGGATTGTACGTAATGGTAACGTAGGACTACGTGGTCTTATATAAAAAGCAGGAGCTTGGTTCTCTCTGTTAGTACTCTTTAGTATGACGCGCTTGGCATAGATGGCCCACAGCTACTCACGAAGAACTACTGATTCCGATCTCAGTAGCGGTGCGGCTTCTTCCTCCTTCTATGAATGATCATGTGGGCTGCAGCTCGCTGCTTGCAGGCAGCCTTTCGTTGTGTACTCGAGAACACCACCACTCACCATGCTGTGGTTGAATAAACACCATTTGGTGAGACCGGATGGAATTCAACATTGAAATCTGTGTTTGGGAAATCGCTTTTCGTAGGCAATCGGTGATAATTTTAATTATCATAGTAACAGTTGCACATTCGTGCAATTTTCAATAGTGACATTTTGAAAATGATAATTTCTTAAATTCAACAGATGCGCAGAAGTATTTTTAACCGATTGGTGATAAAATTCTTGAAATTGGTCCAAAGGCGACTGAGTTATTAACGTTCCAAATCTTTCATAATTTTGTTACATGTTCCAGTTTCGGTTTTCACAAAGTGTACCCCCATATAGAAATCACAGACGTAGTCTACGTCAAAAGTTGTAAGTGATAGTTTGTGTCTGTTTTATAAACTGAACAGTCCTTATGTAAAGTTCCATGCAAATCGGAGAACGTTAAATCTGATCGATTCGTCATGTGGCGTGAAACTGCTCTTCATGTAACATTTAAGTTTCATGGCGTTGTGTTTCAGCTTAGGTACAGTGCTCAATATATAAATTTAACATATGTTTGTTCTGTAACGTATACTTTTCAAATTATGTAATGAAACAACTAAGATTCTAGAAGTAGCCATAATCAGCGATGAATAGCTTACAGTTCTTCCTGACTGATTCCAAGATAATTTTATATTCATAAACCTGTGGCCGTTCAGTCAGCTGACATGATCAACCCACAACACAGACATTTTCACACAAAAAAAAACAAATAATTCTGTAAATGTTTGTTTCTTTTGCTGCTGTCCATCTTTACTCGACGGCAACCACTCCCCCATTTCGAATGGCAAAATGCGTCAGAGCAACAATGTTTACGCGGTTCATTCGCAAAGTTCGTCTAACATATTTCACATCCATTAACTTTACCATTTAAAATTGCACCCAGCACGTTCCTGTGTGCGCTATTTTCGCATTTACCCACCACTTTGGAGCAATTTCTTGCTAACGGCTTTCATCGACCAGCAAGGAAACACCATCTACTCAAGTCTCTATAATAAAATAAAATGCAAAACTGTTAATGAGTAAAATCGAATTTATTCGCTCATGAAAAGGTGCTTATGAGTGCCGCAAAGTGCATTCGGCTCGTTCGCAAAATTATCAGCTATCAGTGCTAATTGGTGTTTCTTTTTCATAGGTTTTCGATACGCGCAGGGGCGCGTTAATTATAAACATGTTCTCAAAGGGGTGGGCGGGGCCGGTCTGGGGGATATCATTTCATTCACAGAGCAAACACCAGACGTCATCGCATGACTAATTTTACACGATCGTCTAGAGCTCTAAAAACCATCATCTCCTACTGCACAGTGCCATGTGGTTCGTTCGTTTTCATCGTTCAGTAATTTCCGACCAGGTATACCGTGGGGGAGGAAAGGGAGGGATGGCTCGGATGCCAATATTTTCTCATCAAATAGTTATTTTCGGCGCCGAGGCGGCAGAGTTCGAATAGTTGAGATTCGCTCTCGTGCTCTTTCCGTACTCAGCGTCGTCATCGCAGTCGAAAGCATTTTCACAATAAGGGATTCTTATGCTTTTGGCAAGATTAATTGGTCTATTGTTGTTGAGCAATCCGGTCGCGAGATTTTTCAAGAAAGATGAGTGAATTTTCAAGCATTACATAATAGCTCGATGGGTGGCAAATACTCGGCAATTTTTGTACATCTCGCGGATTTGCACCGCGACGTGGAACTGTGTCCATGACTTGTAGATGACAGCTGACATAGTCCTCATGGATGGCCATCGAACCAATAACTCAGATCTCTTCGTACAACTTCGCACAACTGACGCCACCGAGCTCGTGATAATTCTCATAATACAACAATAGGCAAAAGTCAACCAAGTCCAACCTGAGCGAAAATACTGTCAACCAGTAAGGCAGGCAATAAATATTTGCAGTAAAGCACGAAAAAGTTGATGAGCAAAACACCAGAGCAAACTTCCAACAGGAGGAAACAACAACATCACATGGTCAAGATCCACAATACAAACACACTGAGCAGTTGATCACTATTTAATAAAGTGAACCCGATCATCATCAGCAGCAGCAGCAGCAGCAGCAGCAGCAGCGCAGCGGTGTGAGTTACGGGTGGATCGCGCAAACGCGTCGCTGCGCTGCCAAATTTTCGCGCCCGAACCCGAACTACACTCGATCTACTTCCTCGCGGTCGCGATCTCGCTCGTCACCACGGTGCTCTCTGCTGGTTGCACGGTTTATGCCTCTCTCTATATAAGCCCGACCGGCGGGAAAATATTCTTTTCAGTATATTCGCAAATCTTTATCGGTTAGCATCGCGATTCGCGGGAAAATCGTGCCGATATTCTTCAGAGAGAGAGAAAGAGTGCTTCCGCCCAAGTTTCGGGCCATCAGATAGAGGAATAAAATAGTGTTAGTTTTTTTTTCGGGTTAAGTTCGGAGAAGAAACCCGCAAGATCGACGATAGTGACCGAATAGTGCGAGAAAAAAAGAAAAACAGGATTGCAAGTGGTTTTGAGTGGGTTCAGTTGTCTGTTAAAACACTCACCGAGTAGTGCAGTCGAGTGCAGTCCGTGCAGGCTCAAGTTCACGAGCGGGTGCGCCAAACCGTTCAGATCCCCCATCCCTTTTCCCCTGGATCGCAACTCGCATGCCATGCGCGATTCAATTTCGCAGTTTTTCTCTTCAGCAGCGAGCCACCACCATGACTGCCGGAAACACAGTTCAGATTCCGACAACAGCTTTGCAGGTGACTATCCGAGGGGGGGAGGGGGGGAGGAGGTTAGATCTAAGAAAAAAGAAAAGAGATCCTCGCCTTCAGGAAGTGGAAAATGTGGTTGTTGGGGGAACGGTATCTAAGTGAAAGAGTCGATCAATTAATACCACAGACGTAGTGTATTAAATAACCGCGAGAAAATAGCACGCATCGTGGACACCTTGTTTTTTTTATATTTAGTTCGTTTGTATGGAAGGCTCAATCAAGTTGGCTTTACAGAGCCGATAATTCATTGTTTGTAACAAAATTCACTTATTTCTATGTCTAGTAGGAGTTGGGCCGAATACTCGCGGTTTACACGAGGTTAGAGGGTACATTGTCGAAGGATAAGATCAGGGGAGATGCTTGGGGGGTGGAGTTTCGTTGTCTCGTCAGAGCATTATCGCCAGTATGAACGGTAGTGCGGTTCTAGATTCGCCTGGAGTTCAACCGGCTATGGTGGTCACCTTGTCGGAGTGCGTAGGATGAGTTACTGTTTGAAAATCTGGTTTGGTGATCACTTTCTATGCGATTGAAATGATTGGCAGCTCGTAAATCCCTGCGGACACATGGTCCCTGGACTATGATGTTGCATTAGTTATTAAATTTCAAGTGATTTAGCCTATTTGCTGTTCATCTTGGACAATGGTTTCGTATTTGATTGGTCTAAGTTTTTCAAAGAGTTCAAACGATAGTTTTCCAATTACCAAACGTTTCGGCTTTTTTTTGCCAAAACTGAGAGGTTATTTATTGGGTAGCATTGTTTTAGCATAGCACATACCAGTTCAACGTACTTAACTCTATCGGTTATGTTGAAGCGTCCAATGGTAAGCTGTCTCAAACTCTGAACCATTTGGCGATTTTTTTTAACTTTTGTTTAAATTTGACAGATGGAAAGTTATCGATTAACCCTGCTATCTGAGGCTGTGTTCCATTTGGCGAATTTTCACTTAAACTTGACAGATGGAAAATTTCCAAATAAACCTGCTATTCCAGCAGACTTATATCTGACAGACAAGGAATCAATTTTGACACACACCTTCTCGAAAATTGACCGATCAACAACAGAGGGATTTTCGAACATTATAATTTAGTTTCGAAGTGTCAAGTTTAAGTGAAAATTCGCCAAATGGAACACAGCCTGAGCATGGTTATTTCTGACAGACAAGAAGTTAAATTTTGACAACCGTGGCTCGAAAACCGGTCGATCGACAGCACTGGGATTTTCGAACATACGAAATGTCACTTTTAACCACGAGTTAAATGTATCTCAGCAAATGGTTCACAGCCTCAATGAATTTATAACAGTTTCCCTACATGATAAACTGTTGAGAAACAAAGCAATCATTGGATGAAGCCAGCTATCATAGTAGTCTATGAGGATATTGGAACTATAATTTTATTCATTCCCTGTCAAGCCATCAAGCTGAATGGACCTTTATTAAGGCTGTGAACCATTTGCCGAGTTAAATTTAACTCGTGTCTAAAAGTGACATTTCGAAAGTTATTCTTGATGTTCGAAAATCCCTGTGCTGTCGATCGACAGGTTTTCGAGAAGAACTCAGCCACGGATGTCAACATTTAACTTCTTGTCTGTCAGAAATAACCACGCTCGGATAGCAGGGTTAATCGATAACTTTCCATCTGTCAAATTTTAACCAAAAGTTAAAATAATCCACCAAATGGTTCAGAGCCTAAATAACTGTTAAATAACTGTTCCCGTTACTTGAATGACTTCTTGCACTGCGTAGTAGAAGAAACCTCAACAGGTTATCAGAGCGACTCACGAAAGGAAGTTTCATGTCATGGAATTCCACAATTCGCTGGTCAATAGTATGACACCTGGCAGTTTCGCTTGAAGATGTCCCAACGATGCCAGGTCACTGAAAACGAAGTGGGTATTCAGTTTGAAGGAGGATGAAAATGGACGATCCATTTGACAGACAGTAGTAAAATGCATCCTGCAGCGTCCCGGGATCGATTTTGAAGAGACATATGCTCCTGTGGCGAAGCTGCCTACGGTACGGTTGGTTATAGCAGTAGCATATACATCAGATGGACGTGAAATCCGCCTTTCTTCAGGGCGATCTAGAAAAAGTCAGTGAGTTACGAAAATCGATGAATGGACTCAAGCAATTCCGACGTTGTTGGAACGAGCACCTCAACGGCGTATTGTTGAAGTTGAGCCTGATCAGATCAAAGCGGGATTACTGGCTCTACGTGTCAATAAAGAAATCCAACCAGGTTTATCTGGTGCTGTCCGTGGACGATCTCCTTATTGTCGGAAGGAAATTGGAAACCATTCTAAAATTGAAACGACGATCGGCCTTGTAATTTGAAATGTCCGACTGCGGTGAAGCTAAACTTTTCTTGGGGATGAAACTGGATTATCGTCGGAATTCAGGTGAGCTCAAACTATCCCAGACGGTCAATGTATAAAAAAAAATATTGAGCCGGTTGCGGATGACAGAGTACTATGCTTCGAATACTCCGATGGAAAAGGCACTTCAACTGAACAATGAAGGAAAGAGGACTGCAAAGCCGTATCGAGAACTTCTTGGAAGCCTGATGTGTCAGATGGCAACTGTTAGGCCAGATCTGTGCTTTCCAATTTTAAAAATAACCGACGGATAACCATTGACAATCACTCAAACGTATCGTCCGGTACCTGAAAGGTATAAGTAGCATGGGACTACTATTCAAGAAAGCTACATCATTGGAACCGCTTGTGGGATTTGTAGACTCAGACTGGGCATCAGGTTTGGTGGACCGGAAGTCAATCACTGGCTACATTTTTAAGGTGTTTGGATGTCCTGCAGCATGGGCAAGCCGAAAGCAAACAACGGTATCAACTTCATCTAGTGATAATGCTGAATCGAAGCGGGTAAAACACATTGACATCATTTCATAAGAGATCACGTGGCAGCTGGAACCATTGAGATAAAGCCAAGGGGTAATGGGTGCCGAAAATAGATTTAAAAATCTTGGGCACATCTTCGGCACAATCTCGTAGGCATTGGATTGTTGTAAGTAAAAAGGGAGCACTGCTGGTCACTGAAGTTGTTCACAACATTACGTGCTGTTTGGCTGTATATTCACGAACATCATCTAATTAAGTATACCTCTCACCCCAGCAGGCCTGGGTTCAATCCCAGTCGGTGTCGCCGGGATGTTCTGAGGCATAACATCTCTGATCACGCCTTCCTTCGGAAGGGAAGTAAAGCCGTTGGTCTCTGGTTCATGAGTTGATGGGTCGATAGGTAGGGTTCAGGTGTGGGAGCTGCCTCCCTGGCGTCGGTAGCATTGGTGCTCAGCACGGAAAACAAATCAAGGAAAAAAATCTAATTAAAAATATCAGAGGAATTCAGACCAGCAGCTCACTTCTCGGTTCACTTACAGATTTAAATCCGAAATGGTGCTAGACCGATATTAATCCAGGTATCACAACAGCCTATGAAGATGTTGGAACTATAATTTTATCCATTCCCTGTCAAGCCATGAAGTTGAATAGACCTCGTTACTTGAATTACTTGTTTCACTGCGTGGATTAATCCAGGTTATTTTCTCTCTAAAGTGGGCCCGTTTATTGCAAGGGGTAAGTCACTCAGCACATTGTGCCGAATTTAGATTCGGCACAGCTTGGGCACATCCATCGGCACAATTTCGTAGGCATTGAATTGTTGTAAATAAAATGGGAGCACTGCTGGTCACTGAAGTTGTTCGTTCACAACATTACGTGATGTTTGACTGTATATTCAGGAACATCATCTTATTTAATATACCAGAGGAGCTCAGACCAGCAGTTCACTTCTCGGTTCACTTACAGATTTAAATCCGAAATGCCGCTAGACCGATTTATCCTTGCGATTTCAAACCAAAACATTCAAGGTGCCAGAAATACCGGGTTGCCGGGATGGGTATTTTACAACCCACAATATATTGATACGTGTGGGGTTCGTTTAAAACCATTACGTTAAATCATGATCAAGCACTGGTTTCATTACCACAAGTATTCAGTTTTCTACCACACGACAGAAGTTTCGTCAAATTTTTTCGATTTTGCATCTATATGCTCATCAATATATTTGCCGTCAATATTTGCATCAATATGATTGTCAATGCTTTTGAGTATTGACAATATTTTTGCCAATGAGGTGCTTGCTTTAGGTCAGCGCTGCCCAACGTGCGGCCAGCGGGTCGGACGTGGTCTCTGGATCTCAGTAATGGCATCATTGTAGTTCAATTTTATTCATCACTAGCTAAGTGTGCTCGACCTTGCTCGGGATTCAATATTAGCTTGATTAGCGCCGATTAAAAAAAGCATGCTATATTTTTCTGTTTAATTTGTATGGGAACCCCCCCCCCCACAAAGGGGGGAGGGGTCTCGAACCATCGTAAGAACCTTCCCGGCCCCAAAAACCCCTGCATACAAATTTCCACGCCGATCGGTTCAGTAGTTTCCGAGTCTATTAGGGTCAGACAGACAGACAGAAATTCATTTATATATATGTATACATAGATTAGGGATTACAGCCCAGCATGAATGAGAAAGAAACAAAATGGCATAGGTCAAAGGTTGGACGTCAAATCCAAACAATGTTTGGTGTTGATTTCTAAATAAGTTATGTCATTCAAACCGAAGATGGTTCTCTCAAAACAGTTCGTAACATGCCGACGAACAAGAGAACCATGCTCTCTCTTCCTCTTTATGATGATCCTAGGAAAGCAATTCACCTCCACAACCCCGCAAAAACTAGCGATCGCATCGCCCACCATTGAGTGCTTCTCGCTCTCCCTCCGACATCGATCGAATTTTCCCCCTCGTGGTTTGTGGAAATCGTTCTCATGACAACCACCCAATCAACCGACACAACTGGTAACAAGTGGTGCTGCGGTTTTGTTTTCGTCAAAGAGATTAACGATTAACTCGCCAACTAGCCGGAAAACATTCACGCAAACAAACACATCTGTATGTGTTGGGCTTACATCAATCA